TTGTAAAATAATATTATAGATTCATTATACGATTCTTGTTTGTGTCACGAAATGTGGCTGACATATTATTGCGACACAATAGTTATGACACAGATGTTTGTGAAATGAATGCGTAGTATTGAATAGCATATCACTTCCCTCAGATTATGCATCTATATTCCACATGCTATAGCCTGGTTTGTCATGCGGTGCCCGTTTTATTACATATTTCCATACTCACATCCGTTGCTCGTAAACAGAATATACATTGTAAGCCCTGGGACCGTGAACATATGTTGAATACACATTGATAACATTGATATTTATTTGTAACTATTTTTTTACATCGTAACAGAATCCGATATTCACACCGAAGCGGAACACGTGCTTTACAAAATTTAAATGGTACTGAATCCTTTTTTCCAGACTGGATCCTATATTCTCACTGATACAAAGTCTTATATTTTGATACTAAATCCTGTATTCTCGCTGATACAAAATTCTATATTCTCGCTGAAACTAAATCCTATATTCTCGCTGATACTAAATTCTATATTCTCGCTGAAACTAAATTCTATGTTCTCGCTGATACTAAATCCTATATTCTCGCTGATACTAATTCTATATTCTCGCTGATACTAAATCCTATATTCTCGCTGATACTAAATTCTATATTCTCGGTGAAACTAAATTCTATATTCTCGCTGATACTACATTCTATTTTCTCACTGACTCTGAGTCCTATATTCTTACAGACAATGAAAATCAGTACTCAATTCACGCTGATACTGAATCCTTTATTGTTACTGAATCCTATATTGAAATTGATTCTGATTCTTACATTCAAACTGATACTGAATCCCATGTTTACGTTGAAGCTCAATCCTCAATCCTAATTCTCTCTGATACTGAGGAATATGTCCATACTTTTACCGAATCCTGTATATATATAAACTGAATCCTAATTGGTATTACCTTGATATTGAATGCTGTAAAGCATAAATTTTATATCTAAACTAATATCGGGTTACATATGATGTTTGGTAATCTGAACTGATACTTAATTCTCTACTTTGACGACAGGTTTTATATTATACACATGTTCTTTTTCAACGTTGGATTTGTTCTCGACACGATATGGCTGAAATAGTGCCGATGTGACGTTAAATATTAACTCACTCACGCACTCACTTAATTCTCTGTCTAGTCTGATACTGAAGCCTGTATAAACTGATGCCGACTCCCGTATTTAAACTATATCTAAACTTATACAAAATCTTCCTATCTAAACTAATACTTAATCCCATATCCAAACTGATACTGATTCTAAATCTAACCTTATACTCAGTGATATATCTAAACTGATATATGTTTCTATATCTGGACTGACATCAAATCCTATGTCTAAACTGATACTGAATTCCATATCTAATGTGATACTGAATCCTGTATCGAAACTGATAATAAGCCCATATCCAAACTGATACTGATTCTAAATCTAACCTTATACTCAGTGATATATCTAAACTGATATATGTTTCTATATCTGGACTGACACCGATTCTATGTCTAAACTGATACTGATTCTAAATCTAAAATTGTATTGACTAATTAATATATCTAAACTGATATATATTTCTATATCTGGACTGACACCGATTCATATGTCTAAACTGATACTGAATTCCATATCTAATGTTATACTGAATACTGTATCGAAACTGATATTTTATCCCATGTCCAAACTGATACTGATTCTAAATCTAAACTGATACTCTGACAGTGATATATCTAAACTGATATATATTTCTATATCTGGACTGACACTGATTCCTATGTCTAAACTGATACTGAATTCCATATCTAATATGATACTGAATACTGTATCGAAACTGATATTTTATCCCATGTCCAAACTGATACTGATTCTAAATCTAAACTTATACTCTGACAGTGATATATCTAAACTGATATATATTTCTATAACTTGACTGACACCGATTCTATGTCTAAACTGATACTGAATTCCATATCTTATGTGGTACTGAATCCTGCATCAGATTTGTTCCCGTGTTTCTGTATGCAACATTGACATATGAATCCTATACTGGATTCAGGAATTGCACTTGTATCTAGTTGACTCAAATAGACACCTGTGTACATCTAGCCGAGTTGACAAAAACAACTTCTGTCTTTTGCGACAGTCAGCTGCGTGTGCGCGACACCTCATATGACCTTTGGTGCGTGTCCCTACTTACTGTTGCTACGGACAAAGAGTATTGACACTTGATCATCAGAATTACCAAACGTTGCCTAGCAACCATCACATTTACACGAAAATCGATCAGTTTGGTCACGTGACCCATAACCCCAAACATTTCTCTCGGAGTGTTCACACTTTGCCACTCGGGCCAAGGAAACGAAATTACCGACTGGTCTCTACTAGCGGCACAACGATTAGCTCCCTACAACCAGGTCACTTGCGTCGGTATTGGGAGAACGCCACAGACGGGTTTTGCCGTGACAACGTTTACTGTTAGGTAGCTTGCCCGTTCACCAGCTGATGTGTGTAAAGGGCGTCTACAATCGTGTTTTCACGTGGCTGTGTGGCATGACGGAAAGTAGATGGAACTGAGGCAAATGTTTTTCATGTTGTTGTATTTTGCGCGTGATTTGAGGAGTGAGTTGAGTTTTACGCCGCACTCAGCAATATTCCAGCTATATGGCGGCGGTCTGTAAATAATCGAGTCTGGACCAGACAATCCATTGATCAACAGCATGAGCATCGATCTACGCAATTGGGATACGATGACATGTGTCAACCAAGTCAGCGAGCCTAACCACCCGATCCCGCTAGTCGCCTCTTACGACAAGCATGGGTTACTGAAGATCAATTCTAACCTGGATCTTCACGGGTCGCGTGATTTGAGGAAGGCAAATGGGAACCACATAGATATCGGAGTAAGGTGTAGTCGGAGATGTCGGGAGGGAGGGGGGTGTCATGTTACGGCGGAGGGGATAGGGATAGGGAATGTTTGCGCGGGTGTTACATGTGGTATTTGTAAAGTCGTTCGCCGATCATTTGATCATCCGATGATATGAGAAAGCTTTTTGAACAAACAGTGAAATTGTACCCTTCAAGTGATTTTGAATATTTTCGTTATCTCGCTAATTGGTTTATGTGTTCACAAGTCATTTTGCAAACTACCACGTGAGATGGAAGATAATGTTGCTGTTGGAATAAATCGTTATACTCAGAATACACGCTACTGATGGTTAGACTTATGGCAACAAGGGGCGGTGGGGTAGCCTAGTGGTTAAAGCGTTGGTTCGTCACGCCGAAGACCCGGGTTCGAATCCCCACATGGGTACAACGTGTGAAGCCCATTTCAGGTGTCCCCCGTCGTGATGGAATATTGCTAAAAGCGGCGTAAAACCAAACTCAGTCAGTCAGTTATGGCAACCAACAGTTTTCGTTCACCTTTGTTGATAAGAATATGATCATTTACGTTACAATTTTCTACACGGAGATGCTGATTTCTGAATAGTTAATACCTTATGTATATTACTGAATGTCCCGATGTATTTTTACTGACATAAGATCATGGCATTCCATGACATTTGGGCATGACCATATATTGTACTTCTTGCATGCCACTTGTATTGCTCTTTGAGAAGTTCAAGAAAAATCGATTTCATATAACCATAGTTAACATGTCAGAGTGAGTGAGTTTAGTTTTACGCCGCACTCAGCAATATTCCAGCTATATGGCGGCGGTCTGTAAATAATAACATTCATATCACGAGTAAAATTACATGCAGACACACATGAAACACGGCACAATATGATACATACACATGTGACGAACCAAGTCAATGTTCAGTCTCGTTTCCTGTTGACTGGTTCCCGTCCTTTGCGCAACTTAGTACAATAACCAGTACAGAATTTTGAGACCAATTCATTTATCTGGATACATAATTATTTATAAGTATTATTTGATACATCTAAGTACTTGTATAATGCAATACTACGCTCCTTCTAATCCTTGCAAACACATCGTGTAACGTGTTCTGTCGTACAGCGAGCTCTGTCAAACGGAAACCTGGAAATCGTGGAAATCTCAAAACGAGGCTCTCCCGCTAGAAAAGTTTGGCGGTCTGGTACGGACTTGATATTATATCAATCACAATGTGCGGTACAGAACTACACTCAATAAGCGCAAAACACACATAACAGGTGTAACCAGTGAGGCAGATGCATTATGAATCATTTTACGACCTCATTAAACAGGCTCAGTCTATGACGTCTTAGTTAAGGTCATGCTGTCTACACCTCGCCATAAAATTAGAAATACGATGTTATTAAAGATCAAATTAAAATTCATTTGTAAATACCATTTTCTTATGAAACAAAGAATTGGAATTCAGTGTAACCAAGGTTGTTTGTGATGTCTATTTTCACTTTCACAAGAGATAATTCGGATCGGCTGAAAAGTAGGTCATTGTCATGTTTCGGTTTGATAGCCAACCATAAAAATGCTTAATATTATTGTATCATTAATATATATGTACTTAATTTTGATAACACATACATGACAAGGGGAAGGGAGGGCATATAGGTAAAATATATAAATAGTACATGCATTCACTTTAATCTGCGCATAATTATTGATGTCACAGAAAATAAAAGCAATTTTTTTAAAGAAAAATACATTCACCCATAACATACTCCGAGTAAGCTAGAAAATCGGTCTGTTGTGTGTTTCACTGATAATGATAATGAATTTATATAGCGCCTGTTTCCAAAAAGTATTTGCTCAACGGCGCTGAAGAAGAAAGTCTGAAATGTCTATGAGAGGAATATTGTGTACAGATGGGTTTTCATCTGCTTAACCTTATTAAAAGTTTGATAGTAGTATATTTCTTTTAAAAGAAATATTTCTTCCAAAGAAGTTTCAGTTCGTGAGCTGAAATATATGTTTACATAGTCGAAATATAATATGTAATATTTTCCTTTACAGGAAGCACATTTTCAAGCTAAAATGACAAGCCCCTGCTGAATCAATGTGTCACGTGATTGGATCTGTACAAACTGATTGGATGACGACGTGTCACCAGAGGTCACTTCAAGATGGATTTTATTCGGAAGTTCGACATAGAATTGGACAAAGAGATCTACTATGCAGGGGAGATTTTGTCTGGAAAGATCATCGTCCAAAACACTGAAAATATCCGGGTTCAAGGTAAATATATGCACCTACATTTCCCATTTTAACGGAATTTCAGAAACATCACGGCGTGCCAGTTTTACTTAGGGTAAAACATGACTTCCATACAAGCAAGGGTATGGTATTTATACACGGAGAAGAAATATAAGAACGTATATGGAATTATGGGATCCTTGCACACCAAAGGGACACAACTCTTGATGTCAGATTACGACAAGACGGCAAGGCCACGCCACCTGTGCCCTTTCCTTCTGTTTACTACATCCGGGGAACATACTGATATAAACTGACGTTCAAAAGAAAGTACACACCTGATGCTTTGGCAACATGTACGTGTATGTTTGGGACTTGTAAGTCACAGTCAATAAGAGGCGCGTACTTTCTTTTGTGTGTCAGTTTATATTGAATATATACGTAGAGAAACAAATAAAGGAACACAGAACACATTTTCCACTTTTCATCACCAGATTTTAATAGCACTGTGGTGATGAAAACTAGAAAATATTAAAGGAACACTTGAATTTTCCTGTGTTCCTTTATTTGTTTCTCTACGTATTATGCTCTGTATTCAGAAACTGTCATAACATGAAATTACACATTTTGTAACCAGATATATGTGCCGTGTTAAATAGTAATACTGTCCTTCGCCCAAGAGATACGTATTCCCAGTGCAATCGTCACAAAACATGGATTCTTTCGTTTCGTTTCATTTTCCGAATGAAAACAAATTGTAGAGAGTAATGTCCTTAATGAAATTTTAGAATTACCCAGTAGTCGTTTCCGGGAAAGTGGTGTTTTCGGAATACTGGGATCCGGTTTTACAGGGTTTTATTGTATCAGTGATTCAGTTATAAGTTCTTACGTCTGGCAAAGCCAACGCAACACACCTCAATAAACCCTTATAGACCCGTGAAGATACGGGTTAGAATTGGCCTTCAGCAACCCATGTGTGTCGTAAGAGATGACTAACGGGATCGGGTGGTGAGGCTTTCAGCAGCCCGAGCTTGTCGCAAGAGGCGACTATCGGGATCGGGTGGTAAGGCTCGCTGACTAGGTTGAGACTATACACTTTCTGATGTTTCGAATTCATTACCGGTTAAGTGTTATCTCCGACTGCCTTTGCTACACTGTACTGCACCTTCTACATATAGTGAGTGAGTGAGTTAATATTTAACGTCACATCGGCAATATCGCAGCCATATCGTGACGAAAACAATTTATACAATAAAACATCTACATATAGGCCAACAGACAAAGTGTTTCTGTATCGCTTCAAGGTAAAGGTTCCTGCTGGTTAAATGTGTCTTAATTGTATTAATGGCCCAACTCCTCTTAACAATTACCGTTAATTCTTGATAATTGGGTAATTGTGTAAGTGTAAGCGAGGACCTGTTATGGAACATAAACACCAGCTGACGGACCTACCGTGAAGTATTTCCATTCCAGTACAGAAGTCATTTACCCAATGACATCCTTCGTTATCCGTTCTGGAACTATATATAGTAAACTGTGGGGAAGAAATACACTCTGACGCGAATTCAACGTCCTAAATGCGCCAGTTGACTTGGTATGGGAATGAGTACACAATACCATTTAGAAAGTGGTCAAATGTAACATACATGTATGTTACATTTGGGATTACACTTTCTTAGAAAAGCACATATTCTAGTACTTTTGTTGGGTTGAGACCCATCTCGGGATTTGAACCCACACCCTTAGCGTCAGGCACCTAATCGCCAGCATACAAAGCCAGCCGCCTAACCCGCTCAGCCACCGCGGCTTCCTGGTAAGGGAATGCCGAGGCTCGCTTATGGTCCGGAGGCCCAGTGGTTAGAGCATTCGCTCGTCACGCCAAAGACCCGGGTTTGATTCCCCACAATATGTACAATATGTGAAGCCAATTTCTGGTGTCCACCCGCCGTGATATTGCTAGAATATTGCTAAAAGCGGCATAAAACTAAACTCACTCACTCATTTAACCAGGTGACAACCAGCTGCTCTCTTAGTCTGAATTCTCTTACGTTGGTTCTATTTAAAAAGGAACATCTGAATTAAACATGTAATAACATGGCGGTGACCCAGTGTAAGGTTTGTACGACATAAACTGCCATTACAGATGCTGCTGCTTTATTGATCACTGCTGTGATGATCCATCTTTCTCGTGATGTTTTATGAACCATATTGCCGGTAACCTAATTAAGAGTGTGCTAAGCGGGATCCCGTGCGTTTCATATATACACTAAAACGTCGGCTCCTGTTTATGTTTCTCATCAGAAGCGTATTTTCAAAATGACCAGGACTCATTATGTTGAGAACTCGTTAGCAAATACGGTGGTATAGTTCAGGCGAGGAAAGATATATCCGGGCAAACAGGACATTCAGAGAACTAATACCAAAACCTTATCAAGAATTTTTTAACCGAACAAAACCAAACCGTATCGATCGCTGTTCCCAAAGTCCTAACGGTGATGAGAAACTTCATAAAATCTTCATGACTTTAATTTATGACGTTAGTTTTCTTCACACCTATCTCAAGCGTCCGTACCCTTTGATATTATGTCTTAATGAAGGTTGCCTGTCACTCTGCAAGTCGTAAGTCGTAACTGCGCATGACGTAACTGCGCATGACAACCACAGAAAACGAGAATTTGTAACTTATATTTTTTGCAATTGGATTTAAAGGGACACCCACGGCCCCCTTGGCAGCGGCATTCGTCGCGTTGCACAAACTTCTCTATCATATCATTGCACACTCTTAGTTTCGATATTACTTGCGTGTGTATTGTTTTAAGTGCAAGTTTGACAGAGCTCTCCAAGTTTCAAGTGCAGTTCGATCTAGTAGCCCATAATTATTTCTGAAAGGTATTAAGAAGCACATGCTTGTTGCAAACGGCGACTCACGGGATCGGGTGGAAAGTTTATGTATCCCAGTTCCGTTGATTGATGCTCATAATGTCAGTCACGGATTGTCTGGTCGAGACTCGATTATTTATAGATCGCCATCACATGGGGAAATTGCTGAGAAACAAGCGAACATAAATAAATAAGGTACTTCTTACAAGCTTGGGTTGCCAGACACCCATACCGAACCGGCATCCCCACGGCCCCACCGAGAATGACAGTCTTTAAGCATTTCTGAAATATTTTAACAGCGTTTGGTTCACACCCGTCTGTTTCAAATCGCTTCCCGGAATGCAATGAAACCGTAGCCAGTGGTTAACAATCAAGTGTAAGTGTCCGCATTGTCAAACAAAACATTCCGTACATCCTTGAATCAGCATCCAAACTCAAAACGTCAGAAACATCGAGAGAAAGACGGCTGAAACAAGCATGAAGAACTTTACGCAATCGTCTGTTATCAAAATAAACGCCGTGCCTTCCAAACTAAATACCTTTGCCTATTTACTTTTGTGTATTCCATGATTTCAAACACTTTTTCTGTACTGGGCCGTGTTACACAAAAAAGAAAAACAAACCCAGGAGACATAGCAAAGAAGGCATTTTAATAAGGCATTGTGAGAATCCAGATTGAACATTTTGAAGCATTGCTACATTGATTTGTTTCGAACACACAGGACACCCAACTGTGATTGATGGCGCTTTAAAAAGTAGTTCGGTTAATCACGTCATATTGGAGGAAAGTTCCAAGTCACGCATGTCGAATATAAAGCCTTTATATATACACATTGGTAAAGAAACCATTGTGACTGCAGGAAGTAAGAACAAGAACATTGCCTGTGTAAAGCAATAACAAGAACATTGCTTGTGTAAAGTAAGAACAAGAACATCCCCTGTGTAAATTAAAAACTAGAATATTCGCAGTTTAAAGAAATAACAAGAACATTGCCTGTGTAAAGTAAGAACAAGAACATTGCCTGTGTAAAGTAAGAACAAGAACATTGCCTTGTAAAGTAATAACAAGAACATTGCCTGTGTAAAGTAAAAACAAGAACATTGCCTTGTAAAGTAATAACAGTTATATTGCCTGTGTAAACTAAAAACAAGAACATTCCCAGTGTAATGTAATAACAAGAACATTGTCTGTGTAAAGTAAGACCAAGAACATTCCCAGTGTAAAGCAATAACAAAAACATTGCCTGTGTAAAGTAAGAACAAGAACATTGCCTGTGTGTAAAGTAATAACAAGAACATTGACTGTGTAAAAGTAATAATAAGAACATTGCCTGTGTAAAGTAAGATCAAGAACATTGCCTGTGTAAAGTAAAAACAAGAACATTCGCAGTTTAAAGTAATAACAAGAACATTCCCAGTGTAATGTAATAACAAGAACATTGTGTAAAGTAAGACCAAGAACATTGCCTGTGTAAAGCAATAACAAGAACATTGCCTGTGTAAAGTAAGAACAAGAACATTGCCTGTGTAAAGTAAGAACAAGAACATTGCCTGTGTAGTAAGAAGTAAGAAACAAGAACATTGCCTGTGTAAAGTATTGCCTGTGTAAAGTAAGAACAAGAACATTGCCTGTGTAAAGTAAAACAAGAACATTGCCTGTGTAAAGTAAGAACAAGAACATTGCCAGTGTAAAGTAAGACCAAGAACATTGCCTGTGTAAAGTAAAAACAAGAACATTGCCTGTGTAAAGTAAAAACAAGAACATTGCCTGTGTAAAGTAAGAACAATTGCCTGTGCCTGTGTAAGAAAAGTAAGAACAAGAACATTGCCTGTGTAAAGTAAAATCAAGAACATTGCCTGTGTAAATTAAGAACAAGGGCATTGGCTGTGTAAAGTAAGAACAAGAGCATTGCCTGTGTAAAGTAAGAACAAGAACATTGCTTGTGTAAAGTAAAAACAAGAACATTGCTTGTGTAAAGTAAGAACAAGAACATTGCCTGTGTAAAGTAAGAACAAGAACATTGCCTGTGTAAAGTAAGAACAAGAACATTGCTTGTGTAAAGTAAAAACAAGAACATTTCCTGTGTAAAGTAAGAACAAGAGCATTGCTTGTGTAAAGTAAAAACAAGAACATTGCCTGTGTAAAGTAAGACCAAGAACATTGCCTGTGTAAAGTAAGAACAAGAGCATTGCCTGTGTAAAGTAAGAACAAGAACATTGCCTTGTAAAGTAATAACAAGAACATTGCCTGTGTAAAGTAAAAACAAGAACATTGCCTTGTAAAGTAATAACAGTTATATTGCCTGTGTAAACTAAAAACAAGAACATTCCCAGTGTAATGTAATAACAAGAACATTGTCTGTGTAAAGTAAGACCAAGAACATTCCCAGTGTAAAGCAATAACAAAAACATTGCCTGTGTAAAGTAAGAACAAGAACATTGCCTGTGTGTAAAGTAATAACAAGAACATTGACTGTGTAAAAGTAATAATAAGAACATTGCCTGTGTAAAGTAAGAACAAGAACATTGCTTGTGTAAAGTAAAAACAAGAACATTTCCTGTGTAAAGTAAGAACAAGAGCATTGCCTGTGTAAAGTAAAAACAAGAACATTGCCTGTGTAAAGTAAGACCAAGAACATTGCCTGTGTAAAGTAAGAACAAGAACATTGCCTGTGTAAAGTAAGAACAAGAACATTGCCTGTGTAAAGTAAAAACAAGAACATTGCCTGTGTAAAGTAAAACAAAAGTAAGAACAAGAACATTGCCTGTGTAAAGTAAAAACAAGAACATTGCCTGTGTAAAGTAAGAACAAGAACATTGCCTGTGTAAAAGTAAGACCAAGAACATTGCCTGTGTAAAGTGAAAACAAGAACATTGCCTGTGTAAAGTAAGACCAAGAACATTGCCTGTGTAAAGTAAAAACAAGAACATTGCCTGTGTAAAGTAATAACAAGAACATTGCCAGTGTAAAGTAAGACCAAGAACATTGCCTGTGTAAAGTAAAACAAGAACATTGCCTGTGTAAAGTAAAACAAGAACATTGCCTGTGTGTAAGAACAAGAACATTGGCTGTGTAAAGTAAAACAAGAACATTGCCTGTGTAAAAAACAAACAACATTGCCTGTGTAAAGTAAGAACAAGAACATTGCCTGTGTAAAGTAAGAACAAGAACATTGCCTGTGTAAAGTAAGAACAAGAACATTGCCTGTGTAAACAAGAACAAAACATTGCCAAAACAAGAACATTGCTTGTGTAAAGTAAGAACAAGAACATTGCCTGTGTAAAGTAAAGTAAACAAGAACATTGCCTGTGTAAAGTAATAACAAGAACATTGCCTGTGTAAAGTAAGAACAAGAACATTGCCTGTGTAAAGTAAGAACAAGAACATTGCCTGTGTGTAGAAGTAAAAACAAGAACATTGCCTGTGTAAAGTAAGAACATTGCCTGTGTAAAGTAACAAGAACATTGCCTGTGTAAAGTAAAAACAAGAACATTGCCTGTGTAAAGTAAGAACAAGAACATTGCCTGTGTAAAGTAAAACAAGAACATTGCTGTGTAAAGTGTGTAAAGTAAATTGCCTGTGTAAAGTAACAACAAGAACATTGCCTGTGTAAAGTAAGAACAAGAACATTGCCTGTGTAAAAAGTAAGAACATTGCCTGTGTAAAGAACATTGCCTGTGTAAAGTAAAACCAAGAACATTGCCTGTGTAAAGTAAGAACAAGAACATTGCCTGTGTAAAGTAAGAACAAGAACATTGCCTGTGTAAAGTAAAACAAGAACATTGCCATGTGTAAAGTAAGAAAGAGCATTGCCTGTGTAAAGTAAAAACAAGAACATTGCCTGTGTAAAGTAATAACAAGAACATTGCCTGTGTAAAGTAAAAACAAGAACATTGCCTGTGTAAAGTAAGAACATTGCCTGTGTAAATTAAAGAACATTGCCTGTGTAAAGTAAAAACAAGAACATTGCCTGTGTAAAGTAAAATCAAGAACATTGCCTGTGTGTAAAGTAAGAACAAGAAAGAACATTGCCTGTGTAAAGTAAAAACAAGAACATTGCTTGTGTAAAGTAAAAACAAGAACATTGCCTGTATAAAGTACGAACAAGAGCATTGCCAGTGTAAAGTAAGAACAAGAACATTGCCTGTGTAAAGTAAGACCAAGAACATTGCCTGTGTAAAGGAATAACAAGAACATTACCTGTGTAAAGTAAAACCAAGAACATTCCTAGTGTAAAGCAATAACAAGAACATTGCCTGTGTAAAGTAAAAACAAGAACATTGCCTGTGTAAAGGAATAACAAGAACATTACCTGTGTAAAGTAAAACCAAGAACATTCCTAGTGTAAAGCAATAACAAGAACATTGCCTGTGTAAAGTAAAAACAAGAACATTGCCTGTGTAAAGTAAGAACAAGAACATTGCCTGTGTAAAGTAAGAACAAGAACATTGCCCGTGTAAAGTGAAAACAAGTACATTACCTGTGTAAAGTAATAACAAGAACATTGCCTGTGTAAAGTAAGAACAAGAAGATTGCCTGTGTAAAGTAAAAACAAGAACATTCCCAGTGTAAAGTAATAAGAACATTGCCTGTGTAAAGTAATAACAGTACATTGCCTGTGTAAAGAAAGAACAAGAACATTGCCAGTGTAAAGTAAGAACAAGAACATTGCCAGTGTAAAGTAATAACAAGAACATTGCCTGTATAAAGTAATAACAAGAACATTGCCTGTGCAAAGTAAAAACAAGAACATTCCCAGTGTAAATTAAAAACAAGAACATTCGCAGTGTAATGTAAAAACAAGAACATTGCCAGTGTAAAGAAAGAACAAGAACATTCCCAGTGTAAAGTAAGAACAAGAACCCTGTGTTGTGAAGGAACCAAGCCAACAACTTTGGTTGATGGATTAGTCTACAAAAAGGAAGAGGCCGCAAAATCGAGAATGTTGTTGTTGACATTCCGTTAAAAACGTTTGGCCAAAACCAGAAACTCTGGGTAGGAGAGTGGCCAACAAGGTTATCTAGCAAGTGATATATCCATAGACGTATCCAAAGACGTATCCCCTTCTACTCAAAGAAACAATCGGGCATTAGAGAATCTGTTAATGCCTCTTACCGTGGGTTCCACGGGTAAGGCCTTATAACCAGTATATGCTGGTTCGTTAATTTGTTTGTTGTTTAACGCCGTACTAAGCAATATTCTAGCTGTATGGCGGCGGTCTGTAAGTAATCGAGTCTGGACCAGACAATCCAGTGATCAATAGCATGAGCATCGATCTACGCAATTGTGATAAGGTGACATGTGTCAACCAAGTCAGTGAGCCTGACCACACGAAACCGTTAGTCCCCAGTATATGTAAGCCTCACACCATTAATTGTTTGATAAAGAGCTTGTTACACGATACATATTAAAATAATGGTCAGTATGTAAATGGAGGAAGAAATTATTTACCAAAGGTCTACAATAAAACTGTCTACATGAAAACTTTATGAAAGTTTTGCCGAGGCTTTAGATGCTGTACCCTTGACGATGCTTTTTGAAATGATTGTAGAACGAGCGTGTTGAACTGTATTTCGAAAATTGTCCGAATAGCCGACTAAAGATGATCGGAAGGTACAGCATCGTATATCGATGCTCAGACCACTGGTCTGCCTGGTCCAGACTGGACGATCTACTTTACATATTCATGATAATTGTGGCTTCCAACAATGCTCATTCGCTTCTTTTAACTACTGGTTAAAATAAATTCCTTAGAAACACTGATGTCAATGGGTACAGCCTGTGATTTATGTGGTCCTGTGTTTCCAGGCATCCGGCTTCATATACGGGGTAAGGCCCACGCTGAATGGAGGATCACTAGAGCAGGGGAAAGGCGGCATGTAAAACAAGATGAGCACTACATAGACGAGAGGAAGTCTATCTGGGGAAAAGGTCAGTTTGGGTATTAATATTTTGAAAGCTTATGTTGTTACTGTAGTATACACAGCCAGTCCATTCGTGATTGGGTGGACCAACGTCATCGAGAAGGGCTGGGCCGTACTCGCTGCCTACGTGCAGCTCATTGCGCCAGGTGTTCAAGAAACTGTAGTGATAGTGATTCGGTGAAAAGCCTTCAATGATGCTTTACTTTGGGGAGATAACTCAATGCTTGCGAACTCAATCGCTTGGAATGTAATTGTTATTAACATTTCTTAACTTTAGTTAGGTTATTGAATAATTCCATTTGGCTAGAGGGCCATATATTTAAGAGTAAGCTCCAACCATATATTTCATTTTAAGGCGAAAAAATCACTTTAAGTTTTTAAGCATTTTTTAGAGTAATTATTTATCTTAACACTCTTTTGAGTTTCCAACCGTCTTTGTTTGAAATTCTTTCAAAAAAACTAAACAAATATTATTATCATGGAAATGTTTGATCCTGGCCAGATATTTAGAAAATCCTTTCCAATTTTCATTTCATTTTTTTTCCAGACAAAAACGAAGAAGGTCCAATACCAATTTTACCAAGAGGAAACCACAAGTATCCCTTCGAGTTCAAACTACCGGAGAGTGCTCTGCCCTGCTCGTTCGAAAGCAAGATCGGTACAATTCGTTACTACATCCGGGTCACCATCGACATTCCATATGCCTCCTGCCCGCAAGGAATCAAGTACTTCACCGTGGTCGGACCTCACACCGACTGCATGGACGAACGATTTCTGGTATTTGTATTTCTAGTTTCTAGTTTCTGGTATTTGTATTTCTAGTTTCTGGTTTTTGTATTTCTAGTTTCTGATACTGGTATTTGTATTTCTAGTTTCTGATACTGGTATTTGTATTTCTAGTTTCTGGTTTTGTATTTCTAGTTTCTGATACTGGTATTTGTATTTCTAGTTTCTGGTATTTGTATTTCTAGTTTCTGGTTTTGTATTTCTAGTTTCTGGCATTTGTATTTCTAGTTTCTGATACTGGTATTTGTATTTCTAGTTTCTGATACTGGTATTTGTATTTCTGGTTTTGTATTTCTAGTTTCTAGTTTCTGGTTTCTGATACTGGTATTTGTATTTCTAGTTTCTGATACTGGTATTTGTTTCATTTGTATTTCTAGTTTCTGATACTGGTATTTGTATTTCTAGTTTCTGATACTGGTATTTGTATTTCTAGTTTCTGATACTGGTATTTGTATTTCTAGTTTCTGATACTGGTATTTGTATTTCTAGTTTCTGATACTGGTATTTGTATTTCTAGTTTCTGATACTGGTATTTGGTATTTGTATTTGCATTTCTAGTTCTGACCTGTTTGTACTGGTATTTGTATTTCTAGTTTCTGGTATTTGCATTTCTAGTTTCTGATACCGGCATTTGTATTTCTAGTTTCTGATCTGGCATTTGCATTTCATTTGTATTTCTAGTTTCCTGGTATTTATTCTTGATTTCCTAGTTTCTGATACTGGTATTTGTATTTCTAGTTCTCTGATACTGGTATTTCTAGTTTTTGTACCGGTTTCTATTTTAGTTTCTGGTATTTGTATTTCTATTTGTATTTCTAGTTTCTGATACTGGTATTTGTATTTATTTCTGGCATTTGTATTTCTAGTTTCTGTTACTGGTATTTGTATTTCTAGTTTCTGATACTGGTATTTGTTCTGTATTTGTACTGCACTCTATTTCTAGACACTGGTATTTGTATTTCTAGTTTCTGGTATTTGTATTTCTAGTTTCTGATACTGGTATTTGTATTTCTAGTTTCTGATACTGGTATTTGTATTTCTAGTTTCTGATACTGGTATTTGTATTTCTAGTTTCTGGTATTTGTATTTCTAGTTTCTGATACTGGTATTTGTATTTCTAGTTTCTGGTATTTGTATGTCTACTTTCTGATACTGGTATTTGTATTTCTAGTTTCTGGTATTTGTATTTCTAGTTTCTGGTATTTGTATTTCTAGTTTCTGGTATTTGTGTTTCTAGTTTGATTTCAACATCATTTAAATGCAGCAAACAAAAACATTTGTTCGTTTTAACCGTAGGTCGTTTTACACATTTCGACTAAAATCTACAGAAAATGACCGGGACTAATCAATATCATTATAAAATTTGTATATTAAACTACGTTTATACCGAACGCTCTTATAACGAACTGGCTGATGTCACGAACGGTATTTTTGGTGCCCACTACTATAATATATATTAGATGATAACATTGTGGTATTCTTCTTTCAAATTGCTATTGAAACAAATATGCGTTTTATTTCGCTGGGAGAGTTTTGTGTCTTAGTGGAATCATGATCCACTGATCGTGGATTCGAATCCCAGATTCTCTCTGATCATGATCCTTGTTTGGTCAGGACTATATAGAAGCTTCAAAAAGCCTTGTCACTTCCGGTGTTTCTTCAAGCTGACATGCCTTTAGACTAATATCGATAATGATTGTATCGATAATGAACATTTTTACAGAAACACTCAGCACCGAAACCATCTTTACTATATATTTCCTAGAAAAAAACCTTTCCTTCATTTTCACTGCAGTAAACCACAAGCACTATTCCTTTCACTAGTGAGTGATTTAATATTTAACGTCACATCGGCAATATCTCAGCCATATCGTGACGATTCTTGCACTAAAACCTTACATACCAGTCGAAATAGGGGTGGCCAAGATTCCCCAGACTTTGACATTGTATCAATATTGCGAGACCGATGATACTAAGAAGATGTATCATTGGGTCACCTCCCATGTACAATCTATCAGTTATTCATCAGTGTTTCATACTGCTATTTAGAAAGTTTTAAAATTAAAATTTAGATAAAAACAGGTCCCCTGACATCATGAGCTTGGCGAATATTGATCAAATGGACCGGTGATTGATTGCATGTAATCGAATTCCGTCTCTTGCTCATAACATCGATCACTGGATTGTTTGGTACAGATTATGGACTTCGGTGAAGAACGTTAACTTCAGCAAAGCCGCTCCATCAATTGGACACCATTTCAACTCTTATATATCCCAACGAATATTTGTATTTGAATATGCATGCCAGTTCCATTTTGGCAGTTTATCAGGATTTATATTGTATCTGTAAATACCGATTTCTACTTTAGAGCTCTTTCTGCAAGCCACATCATTTCATTGCTTCTAAGTTGCTTCCAGTGCTTCTGATGTTTCCCATGCTATATGGCAACATCTTTATTCATGATAAAACCCATTTTGTCTTTACCTTTCTTACATCCTAAATAACTCTACTTTGATAATGAAAGATAATTGAAGTTCGGTTGATAGACATTTCGCATTTTTGAACCCCTGCCTAAGAGATGCGTGGGCTCTTAAGTTTGGCCATTTTGTTAGACGTCCTCTATTATCTTGTCTTGCGTCAATTGTCATTCTCCTTCTAATATCGTGTGATTAAGGTGACACTACTTCAATATATTTCTCTACCAATCACATAACAATGAATATACCCAAAAATGTTATTCATCTGACTTTATCGGTTTTAGAAAAAATCCGTTTTTCGGATCCTAGACATAAACTGCTGCTTATCATTTAAATACCCAGGGGTACATTTTATTAATAGGCAGCTCCTTGAAACGGAGGACCCGTCTGCTACTACATGTAGTCGGCTTTATGTTATTGTTACTAATGTTCCAGCAATAACATGATATTGTGAATACACAAGAAACTGGTCAAATGTAACACATGTTACATTTGTGATCACGCTTTCTATGTAAAGTAAGGTTGAAGCCACGATGGCTGAGCGGGTTAGGCGGCTGACTTTGTGTGCTGGCGATTAGGTGCCTGACCCTGTTGGTATGGGTTCGAATCCCGGATGGGATTCAACCCAACAAAAGTACAAGAATCTTTACTTTACATAGAAAGTGCCATCCCAAATATAACATATGTTACATATCATGGGACAGCATGCATTTCAGGCTCATGCCAAGTTTTATAGGGGATACTTTTGTGCCTCTTGATTCATCTTTGACTCAAGTGAAGTCCGCCTTTAAATAGACCTGATGATTTTTTTATCCATAGACGCCATCCATCCCTTGATGTCTTGCATTACTCCCTATAGTGCAGTTACGGAGGTCGGTCTTAGATATATTGATCAAACCCTCAAAACCCATTTCATCTTTAAATAATGCACACTAAATCAATAAGATAAGAAGATTGTCAGGTTATCTATGTGCAGCTTGAAAACGCAAGCACTGACATCATCAACAATGTAACATATGTTTGGCGATAGGTGAGTTAATGTAAACTACGTTATTTCGGCAACGACTAAATTATTGATGTGCTCGGGAACACAATAGCATTAGTGACAGGCGTCATGTCAGCTTTAAATAAATGTTTAAATGTTCACACGATATCCAGGTTTTCGGTTGGACGGGAGGCTGATCATTGACCACAGCACTGACGTTCATAAACGTATGAATGACACATTTTGACAGTCATACGTTTCTCGCGAGATTGTATTCTTGAACTGACGAAAACACTGACGTAAACTACTGAAACATTCCAGGGGAACACTTCGGAATTCCCAAGCACGACTATATACAAATTTTCAAAGTTTCTGACCATTTAACAAACACTTGCAATTGAACTCTGAGTTTACACATTCAATCCGACATGCTGTTCGTGAACAAATATGATCTGCACGATCCATCCTCGTGAACATTAATAGTCAGTGAGTTTAGTTTTACGCCGCACTCAGCAACATTCCAGCTATATGGCTGCCGTCTATAAATAATCGAGTCTGAACCGACAGTCCAGTGATCAACAGCATGAGCATCGATCTACGCAATTGGGATACGAAGGCATGGTGTCAACCAAGTCAGCGCGCCTGACCACCCGTTACCGTTATTCGCCTCTTACGACAAGCATGGGTTACTGAAGATCAGTTCTAATCCGGAGTTGCAGGCGCCTTCATAGCAATAAAAACAATTCCTCAGTGTGTGTCTGGCACATCTTCACAACCACCTGAATAATGGAATAATCTCACCTGATCTTCTGATCAACGATGGTACGTTAACAATTTCGAAAACGTTAACTTTGTCAGCCATTATGACGTCATGTGCTTGGTGTAATTATATCACGAGGCACTGTCACTGTGGCTGAACTACTGATGTTATTCTTCAGAGACTTTTACATTTCACGAGAAAACGAACAATCCTTTGAGATTAAACCCCCATTCAACCTTTAGCCTTACCTTCAGACATAGAGCGCACAATTTTCGCAATCTGGAGTTATGGTGTACATATTTTTAACGTCAATACTCTTCATATATCCTCGAGGGTAAATACGTTTCTGTTTGCTACTGGATTTTGCACACACCCGAACCTTAAACCCAATTGTAAACCGTTTGCGTTTGGTCACTGAAAGCACAAAAGAACCCACAAAGAACGATTGGACTTTATCTTAAGGTTATATAGCTACCCGTGCATTAACATTACCAAATCCACTCCTGTGCACAGTGTTCTGGAACTATGGGTTGTCTAACCAATGCGACTGCTATCTTCATCAGACATCAGAACTGAGCCCGTTGGTCCACCGATTGTATCGTGTAAGTCTTGATACCCAGTAGCTGAATCAACCAGAATAATTCGACGGTAGACAGATGATGTTGAGAAGCATGAAGCAACTTCAAGTAGGCGAGCACTGCAGGGTGTACGCTGTTGTTTATATATCATCTTACACTTTCTCCGTCCCAAGTTGGTCGTCCAGCCGTGGACCCAGGTTACGAAATTCTACATTACCCAATTGTAGACCACCCATGAAGGCGAACATCCGTGGATCACAATAAATAACATTTATGGTTATTGTCAGGACTAAGATTGTATGGTCCCCAGGGAGTTGAGATCGATAGTACGATGTGCCGTTGAGATGGACATCCAATAACCGAGGGAAAAAATACCAGCGCCTTGAGCATGTACTAGTTGCGTGGATATGTGCGCTATATAAATATCCAATATTTATTAATTAATTAAGATTCCCATACGAATTTCCACATTATTAGGACCACGGACTTAGTGAGAGTATCATTTATTAGGTTTGTTGGTTGCTGTTTGACGCCGCATTCAGCATTATTCCAGCCACATGGTGGCGATCTGTAATTCACAACATCAGTCGAGTTTATCTTCAATCACCTCGATTCAACCTGGTATTAGACCAATCAGTTCTATCCCAGCGCTCGTAAACTGTACTTGTCTGTTTAAACGATATAGTGTAAATCATCTTTTTCATAGGACATAAGGGGCCGTGGGGTAGCCTAGTGATAAACGCGTTCACTCGTCACGCAGAAGACCCGGGTTCGATTTCCCGCGTTGGCACAATGTGTGAAGCTCATTTCTGGTGTTCCGCCTGGAACATTGCTAACATAAGCGTAAAACTAAACTCACTCCCAGAATGTAACGGTAGATAAGACACAATAAACACATGCAGTGCCACGTAAAGTTTCTTTGACGGGATAGTGTAATTTATTATCTTTCTTACGTTACAGACGCCTTCTCACGCCGAGTCGAAGAGATACAACTGCATACTGTGCTGTGGAAAGGGTCCTCTGTCTTTGAAGGGGACGCTAGAGAGGACTGCTTACTGTTGTGGAGAGAACGTCAAGCTAAAGGTGGAGATCCAGAACGGCTGTGACGAGGAAGTGTGGCTGATCTGTAGAATGATGCAGGCGAGTCTTTATGCTGTACAGTGGCACCTTGATGTGCTAGATATATTACACCCAATAGGTTCCGAAGCACTCCCTTCGGGAGGAATGTACAGTTGAAGGGTGGGGACATTACTCTTGGCAAATTAACCAGGTCTCACTGTAGATGATATGTTGGACAGCTATGTGTGTAGGAAAATGTGGCTTTGCTGTGTATGTTAAAAGAGGCACGTTTAAATAACTCCAGGGTATTTGTGTGATTAAGGGGCTTGCGTGACATAAATACTACAATATGAAGTGAAGTAGGTTTTGACATCGCGTTCGGTTGTGTTCAATATACAGCGATTTGAATGCAATGTGTGAACTTGGACAGACCTGTGTGGTTTTGTGATATCATACTGCAGATACTCAACTCCGACATCACACTGACTTTGTGACGACCAGTCCTTATTGAAACCCCTTATTGCCGAGCATCAGGCAGTGTAACAAAGGGACGCACTCAAAGGACAGGATGGAACCACTCTCTGGCAAAGGGGAGGTTACGCATAACTCGCTTTTGCTAAGGCGTTTCGGTAACAGATAATTTAATGCATTTGATATCAGTATCCCATTCCGTTTCAGTACGTGGAATATTTCATCAATCGTGGTGTGCTGGGACTGTCCAAGGAGTTGAGACACACTGTTATGCAGGTGGAGAGCCCCCATATAGAGCCTCACACCACCACAAGTCTGGATGACCTCTGTCATCAGCTACAGGTGCCCATCATGCCCCCGACAATGGTGGACGTGTGCGGTCTGGTTCAGATCTACTACACACTCAGGGTAGGTAACTCTATATCGGGCAGGTAAATCTATCATGGTTCGTGTGCGTGGCCCAGATCTACATCCGGCTCAAGGTAGGTAACTCTGTATAGGGGAGAGAATTCTGTTATGGTGGATGTGGGTGGCCCAGATCTCCAACCGGCTCAAGGTAGGTAACTCTGTGTAGGGCAGGTAATTCTGTCATGGTGGATGTGCGTGGCCCAGACCTACAACCGACTCAAGGTAGGTAACTCTGTGTAGGGCAGGGGATTCTGTAATGGTGTATGTGCGTGGCCAAGATCTACATCCGGCCCAATGCAGGTAACTCTGTTTATGGCAGGCAATTCTGTCATGATTGATGTGCGTGGCCCAGATCTGCAGACGGCCCAAAGCAGGTAACTCTGTGTAGGGCAGGGCATTCTGTCATAGTGGATGTGCTTGGCCCAGATCTACAACCGGCTCAAGGTAGGTAACTCTATGTATGGCAGATAATTCTGTCATAGTGGATGTGCTTGGCCCAGATCTACAACCGGACCAAGGCAGGTAACTCTATGTAGGGCAGGTCATTCTGTCATAGTGGATGTGCTTGGCCCAGATCTACAACCGGCTCAAGGCAGGTAACTCTGTGTAGGGCAGGTCATTCTGTTATAATTGATGTGCATGATCCAGGCCTGCTATACACTCCAGGTAACACGACCGTTCAAAACATTGATCTTTCACTGATGTTCATCTGAAAACCCATTTGAAGTACACCAAGTTTATAAAGTTATCAGCATATTAAGCATGAATGTTTGAATCTACATATAAATAGACAAATGATCATTTTACAGCTGTGTTTGCGGATGGAGAAATCTGGTGATGCCTTAGAAGTAGAGATGCCTGTCACCATAGCAACTGTTCCATTCCGCATCCCTAGCAACCCCACACCAGAGATACAATATGGTAAACAAAATATTCCTATTTATTAGAAATATATCCTTGCAATCAATGAATGCATTAAGAACGAACATATTTAAAGAGAGGTCGATGTACGGGATTCAGCCTCAGGTGAATACTGTTCAGTGCAGTTGAAGTACAACTCTCCTAATTAAGTCTTAAAATACCCTGTCAATATCAACTCAAAAAACAGTGTGAAAAAGACTGGATTTCGCCAAAGCAACTGATAACTACTTTCCTTTAACTTTCCTCCTATATAAAGGTTCTTGAACCGAAATACAACAAGAACTGCACCGAACCTAGTATACTCACCTCGTTACATAATACGTGTATTTATATGACGTAGGTTTTATTGAGAGTACGCGTTTGTAATGAGGAACGCCATTCTATTCATTAAAAGCGGTTGGGAAAGTATTTCAGTTGAAAATAGAGTGTGTTTACATTGTGAAAAGATTTATTCAATAAGATTGCTTGAGGATGAAGAACATTTTCTTTTAATTTGTCCATTGTATGAAAACTTAAGAAATGAATACATACATATTGCAAAATATTATTATAATGTTCACTAATATCATGTCAATTTGTAACAAGCAGCACGCCTGGAAGTTAGGAGCTTTTATTTTTACAGCTTTAAATTAAGACAAAACTGGATTGAAAAGAATTGTAAATGATTTAAATGTATCATGTAAGCATATTTAAATGTTGTTGGTAAATCAATCAAATATTGTCACATGTCATAATTTATATAATGAGGTACTCTTATCAAATATATTAAAGGACTATGTATGTGAATTATGGGCCGGATGGCCTACATTTCTGAAATATAATCAATCAATCAATCATAAAAAAAGCGGTAAAAACTGTTACCGATAAAGTATAAAACGAACTTGAAGAAATTTATTACATTAAATTGATTTCGATATATCCTAGTTCTTACTGAGTTTTATACTATCTCAGATGTAGCGGCCGACTATGTTGAAGGAGGCATGTACATCAGCTCGGAATTCCAGCTTGGCCAGGTGTACATGGGAGACGATGAAGACTCGGACACAGACAAGGAGATTCTCTACCGCCCCGTCTATGTATGTGTTCCCCACAAACGTCCAACGCCGAGACACAAGACCAGAACCTCGGACATCAAGAGAAGCACTTCTCCCAACTCCACAGATGCTCTGTTGCCCGAGGCTGCTGAAGCTTCCCAGGTCCTGACACCTGATGATAGCTCCGTTCGTGACAATGATGTTCAAGTGCAACTCGATAAAGGTTCGGTCAGTATCAAGATTGTCAGGGATACTGAAAATACCACTCCCAAAGATGAAGATCTGATGTCCAAGGAGGAACTTCCAACTGCTGCTAAGGATGAAAGGAAAGATTCGCACACAGATGCCATGCCGATTCCAATTGTAAAGGAGTATTGTGTCCAACAAGTGGAGAGCTCGGATGGTCTCAGATCGAAGGATGATTCTCTTCCAATCACGAAGGAATCTGATGCAGTTCTTATTGACACTACTGTTCCAAACGACAAATCGGATAAGAAAGAGTCAGCAAAGAAAGGTCCTACAACCGTACCCGTCATCACGATGTCCTCTCCTCCAGTCACTGTGGACAGCACCAATACAAGTAAAGTCAAACAAGACACAAGCACAAGTGTATCGAACACAGATGGTACTGTGTCGACAACTAAATGTAAAACAACTTTCAGAGAGGTCCACGAAACGTCCTCAGCTTTGCTGGTAAAGACAGTTGAGACTGTGAAGGTAAAAAATGTTGTCGTCAGCACCAACGAGTCTGAAGAACGCGAATTCAAAATAACTAAAAGCGAGCATTCTCATTCCGATGTGAGCTCACAGCGAGCTCAAGCTGTTCCTTCAGCCGTTGAGGAAAAGACAGAACGTGTCTGATACAACCAGAAGATTATCTTGAGTGATGTGATTTTTCCTGCAACCGTCTCATCCAACATTCCCCAAAATCCGATAATGCTGTTTGGGAAATATTTTATATTGCATGTAGCCAATCCAATTTCCATCTCAATAATCAAATCGGTATGACCCCGAAGTGTCCCTTGTCATACGTTGTGTGTGAATTACCCAATGCCCTTTCAGGACATGTTAAGAGTTCTGAGAGACGTTGAGATGACAGCATGTGAACCTTACCATGACCTTCTCAGTTAAATGATTCCATACCTTGTTCTCAACATTCCATGTTGGAGGTGGGGAAATGCGACTAACAGTTGACAGGGAAACAGTTTTATACGACTCTGGAAACTACAACATGGCTTATGATGTTGATATCTTGCCGAAATACACAGCGTTCCAAGTGAAGAGGCGTGGGTGTGCTTCCTCCACTGAAGAAACGTCATCACGTCAAATACGAGTATAGGCGTTGAATTACGTCAAATATAGGCGTGGATTTTCTCTGTGCTGGAGAGAAGTCCAATCACTCCCATTTTTGTATTTTTGCAAACTGGTTTTGTAATCCAACTGTATATGTCTTGAAGGAACCATGTGCAATGTTCAGACAGCGTCTGATAATATAATCCCCAAAAGAACCAATGGCTAAATCACGTCGTACCTACTAGCATTCCACCATTATGCCTCCATCTGGTGTTGTGTGCCGACAGTGCTTGCATCTATATAATGGGTCACATCAAATAAATACTGCTTGGATAATATATTAAGGCGCTTGAAAATCAAAGTATTTCACTCCGAAATGTGTATTTGGTTAGGCATACAAAGTATTTCATTGTTTCAGGTGCTATGCCATTAGCCTATATTGACGTAAAAGTAGTTAGGTTAGCAATTATTATGTTTTAAACAGTAGTATTAATGATTACGCCATAGGTGAGTGAGTTTAGTTTTACGCCGCACTCAGCAATATTCCAGCTATATGGCGGCTACGCCATAGGAGTAATTTCGCCTCATCATCTGTTACTAAACTTCCGGGGGAAAGGATGTGTACAATTGACAACAGGATTTGACCAAAACATTACCAAAATACGATCAAAACGTCTCTGGGCTGGAAACAGTCGTTGAAACACTATTTACGGAAAGTCCTGGGCCCCGTTCCACAAAGCGACGGTAGCGCTGAGATGATCGTAACTCCCATACTTTAACATAGACTTACGACACTCGTAGCGCTACGGTCGCTTTTAGGGACAGGACCCAGGCGAGCTATTCTCGAAACGTTCATAGCCCTACGAACTTCTTAAGCCCATTCTTAACACATTGGCTACGATCAAAGTTAAGAATTCTTAGGGCTACGAACGTTTCGAGAATATACGCACAGGGCGACCGTAACGTTACGACTGTCGTAACTCGAATGGTTTAACATATACTCAGTCGCAGCGCTGTGATAGCTTTCGTTAATATCACAATCGAATATCAATTTCTTGCTTGTTTCATATTTAAACTCCATCCCACTTTTTAGACTACCTTCCTTTTCCCGGCAGTATATATGAAGTAAAGGGTGTTCATGGCAATGGTTGTCTCGCCACAAATTGCAACTGATGTGGAATGTCAAGTTGTGTATTTTGGGGCATCACATGTATGTAACGTATGCCTCTTTGAACAGATTATTTGGCATTACGTCAATCAGCCTATAGGAAAATGCACAATTCTTGCTTTATTTGATATCTTCAGTTATGACATTATCACTACGCATATATAAAACAATGCGTTATTCCTATATCATACATGCATATAATGTCTGTGTAAAAAAACAACAGAAAATTAATACGTTTGACTTTGATTCACTTTGAAGTGTTTCATCTCGTGTAGTGTTATATTTTAATCAACGCCTTCTAAATTTACAAGGACTTAATCGTCACATCGATATATAATTCGAGAGAATAATATTGCAATAATATTGCTTAAAGCTGCATAAAACCTCACGCACTTAGAGTTTACTGCCAAAAGATGTAAATGTTTTTGATAAATTTCTACACAGACATTGACAGATCCAGAGATTACTACTCGAATGGCTGCCATAAAACATTAATCTTTCAAAGAGTTCTTTTAAAAAGTTTATCTTGAAAAAACGAATGGTAAGATAATGATCTATGTGAAGCACGATCTGTGACGCTTAACCGCACCATTTTAGCACCGAATATATGAAGACTTTGTCTCTTCCCATGATCGCAGTGGCGCTTCAATATACCAGTCAACAGTCACGTGTGACGTCATCCGGCTTCCGACTTACAACTCATACATAGTGTATATATATAGTCATATTATCTGTGTATTACCATGGCGATAATGATAATGTACACTAGATAGCATCATTACATTTATTAAATCCCCCCCAAAACAATAAAGTTCCTACACAGAGGGTGTGAAATCGATTAAAACGCGAGAAGCTTAGTAGCTACGCTCAGAAAAGTAGTACTTCATAATCTGACCTTAGGTCACCATCATAGAGTAGCCAATCCCGGACCTGGATTTTGATCCACGCATATTTTTCATAACAGTTATGTCAAATGGGTTTCCCACCCATGGGTGTTAAAGAAAGGTTTTCACGATAGGACTAATGAATATACATGCAGGAAGAGATGTATGCTTATGACTACACAATCCTTTCGACTTCGCGGTAAAGAATATTTCGATACATACAGGTACAATTATTCGAAAAAATCGTATGTTTGAGAAAACACTTTTTAATAAATGTGACAGAATTACCTAATCCCTCGATTGAATTGGGGAATTTTGAGTATAGAAATAATTTCCGGAATATTACTTAAGTATATAATCAAGTTTCCTCCATATTTAATACATTGTCGTTTCACGCTCAAAGGTATGTATTAAAATATACAATTTGAGGAATGCTACTTTAAACAGTCGCATTACTGGTTTAATCAAATTTAATATAGGTATGTGGACGCAACATGCCATTATTTGCTGAACGAATATTTATTTTGTATTTGATGATTTTGAGACAGACTCTCACATAACCACTGCTGTTCCCAATGCTTCTTTGATATATTCATATTCATGTTGACCACACAGAACCTTTACTGCTTGACCATTCCATGGAATAAACCTGATTTTACCATACGCTTCGATGTCTTTTCTGTCCAATAAAATACCATCTGGGTGGAACAGCCAGGGTGACATTGTTGTGTGAGTTTTCGGGATGTGTTTTGGGTTTGAGTGAGTGAGTGAGTATGGTTTTACGTCTCTTTTAGCAATATTCCAGCAATATCACCAACACCAGAAATGGGCTTCAAACATTGTACCCATGTGGGAATCGAACCCGGGTGTTCGGCGTGACGAGCGAACGCTTTAACCACTAGGCTACCCCACCGCCCTGTTTTGGGTTTGAGAGTATGGTCGGGGAATTCGGGTGAAGCATCATCGGTACAAGGTTAAAAGGGACTGTTGTGGTGGAGGGCAATGTAAGGTCCATGGTGGATATTGCAGATTATTAATGTTATGTCACCGATTAATGCCAACTACTTATACTGGCGCCGAGTTTGATCTGCAGACGTTTCGTCAGAAATGTTCCGATAAAAGTAATATGTGCAAGAAGCATATATGACTCCTTCCAAGGAAACCTTGAAGTACGTCTTGAAGTATGTTTGGAAGTAGGTGTTGAAGTAGTGGCCCGAAATAATTTCTATTGCTTAGAAAAACTGACAAGAATCTAGACTGCCATTCATTTCAACATGATCACAAGGCAGTGGATACGCCACAATCACACAGGAGTTACTTCCCTCAACGTAACTCTTTCATCCATTTATATCAGGCACCATATCGGTATATGGTCTCCGATATGAAGAAATGAAACGGTATCAGTAAGCTTCAATTAATGTATTGTTGGCTCTTGAAATGTCACGTGTCCCCATTTTTACGAAGTGTGTATACCGTATTTTGAACATAGTTTTCCCGATTAATATTTAATGACAACCGAAATATCAGCTAAAGACAAGTAGCAAGATGTGATACAACTTGATGTTCATATTGTGGCACTCCGCCATATCTGTTGCTTTTCATGGCGATGATGGCAACGCAAGCCGGAAAGATATAACGCTCTATTTCTATAATATTTCGATACAGATGTGGGTAGATTCGACACAAGCATGAGCTACTCATCAATGAATTACAACCGGGAAAATCCGAAATGTCCTTAGGTCATCACCATGGAGTGATTCTCATGAAACTTTTATTATTATGGGATTCGTGAATCATTCGTTAGAATGTCAAATCATAGACACAGCTGCGAATTTGGATCTATACTAGTCGTCATTAATAAAGGGTCAAATGATATATAGCACAGAAAAGAAAAGTGTCTCAGAATTAATAGAACTAAGAGTGTCATCATAATGTTTAATGTGTTGACAAATGTGACATATCGTGACATACAGACAAAAAGTTCAAACAGCACTAGCAAACATAAGTTGTATAGACAAACCTCCCAAAAAATGAAAATGACAAACATGAAGCACTCGGTCATTACATATCTTGTGTCCCCTCCTCGCGCTTCGAGGACACATGTGCACCTTGTTCTCATGCTCCTTATCATGTTCATAAAGAATGCTTGCGGAATCGCATTCCATTCCTCTACTAGAGCTCTGCGGAGTCCTCGGAGATCCACTGGTGCTGGGTGACGTGTGTACGTCATCCCAGGCATGGTCATTTGGGTTGAGATCTAGCGAGCACGCTGGCCGCTCCATCCGCTCTACAGCCTGCTGTCTAAGGAATTCTGCGACAATCCTGGTCCCATGAGGCCTAGCGTTGTCGTCGTGCAGTAAAGAGGGTCGATTATAAAGCCATGCATAGCAAGATTACCGTCGACCATGTGCAGTGGAGTGTACGTCCAGTGGGAGTTATCCCTGCCCAAACCATGACCGACCAGGTAATGCGTGGCCACAGTTGCATCTGTGATTCGCTTTCCATTGCGACGAGAAATCCTCTGCCGACCATCATGGAAGGACAAATTGAATCTGCTTTCATCTGAGAAGAGCACACGAGACCACTGACGTTGATTTCGGCGGCCATGATGTCTACTCCATCTCAAACGCTACTGCATGTGACGCCCTGTTAGTGGTGGACGAACCGCAGGTCGCCTACAGCGGAGTCTGGCTGCTCTTAAACGTCGACGAAAGGTGCTCCTGGATATCCTTACATTGTTAACATTGAAGTGTTCTGTCTGAAGATCTGCTGCCGAAAGGAATCTGTTACGTAACGCAGTGTTGATCATGTGCCTATCAACTCGAACTGTGACTCTGGGGCGACCTGGTCGACGTGCATATTCCACGGACCCATTGGCTTGAAATCTCTGCCACAGTCTACCAATAGCACTCTGACTCGCATTAAAACGGACAGCAACCTGCCGCTGAGTTTGACCAGATTTGAAAAGGCCTATAACCTGATCCCTTTTAGCAAGTGTCTCATTTTAAGCTGCGATTTCAAACAGGTATTAAACTGAACAGTGAACGATAGTGAAAAAGCATCAATGCATGTATATTGTCCTCCACTTTCCATGGATAGAAAGTGCTCGTGCAAATCATTGGCACTAAGTGGCAAGTGGAATTCCCTATTGACAATTTAAATAACAGTAGATGTAAAAGAATGTATCGGACATTAAAGAACGTAATAATGACATTTCAACGGCCCGGTGTGTTTCCAATACTGTTAAGAAAGTTTGTAGAACATTCAGTTGCATATATTTCAAACAAAAACGAAGATTTTACAACTTAATAATTTACGAAATAGTGTTACCAATACCTTGACCCTTCATTAATGACGCCGAGTATATTTCTTCAATGCAAAACGGATTTCTTAACACACGTGCTTTAGTTTACATGTAAAACATTAATTTGGTCAACCATAAAACCCCGAAACGTCTCACGACTGATAATACTTACAGACACAGCTTGTGTTAATCCGTTAATGTGTACGTTTCGTTGCAAGGGAGGCTACTCTAGCTCACTTTGATACCCATTTGTGGGAGACCGCCTCAGGCTGTTGACAGGGTCGGACGTGCTTGTCAGCCGCTCCGCTGTAAGGGCCTGTGTTGGGTCTAGAATTTCTTATTCAGTTCTGCGTTTGGCTTATATTTCTGTATTATCATTAAGGTAAGTGATTGTAGGCTATCGAGGGTCAAATATTGGCTTATT